GCCTCTACCCATTTTGTGAAGTAGTCGATAGCGACCATGACATACTTCTTCCTCCCTTGAGCTTGAGGGAAGGCCCCAATGATGTCCATCCCAAACCTTGCGAATGGAATAACATTGGAAACTGGGTGGTAATATGTCGCAGGCCTTCCCGGAAACTTGTAGAACACCTGGCAAGTCTTGCACCTTTGCACATACTTCTCACAATCTTGGTTCATTGTAGGCCAGAAATAACCTAGCAAAAGGATCCTTTGTGCGAGTGTCCTGGACATTTGATGGGCTGCACAGACACCCTCATGAACTTCGGCGATCACTCTTTCCGCCTCCGCCCTGGTCAAGCATCTCAGTAGCGGACCGCCAAATGCCCTTTTGTATAGCCTTCCATCAAGCATTTGGAATCTTGGAGCCCTCAACTTTACTTTTCTTACCCTATCCTCATCCTCAGGGAATTGCCCGGTCATGTAATACTTGACCAAGTCATCCATCCAAATATCATCTGGCTCCACCAGGGTTAGATTGAGCTGTCCATCCTCCTCTATCAGGCTCACATAAAGCCTTTCAATGCTAGCATTTTCCAGCGTCTCAATCTTGGTCAACTTGGACACATGCTCCGGGGCTGCTTGCGTCAATTTTGATAGTAAGTCAACATCCGTGTTTTCCCCCCTAGGGATTTGCTCCATCACATACTCAGTCAGATCCTTCAATAATGCCCTTGCCAAGTCTCTGTACTTCTGCATCTTCTCTCCTTTGGCCTCCATGTTGCCATTGATGTGGCCTACCACTAAGCTTGAATCGGACTTGATCTTGAGGCATGTGATTTGTAGGGTTTTGGCCAATCTCAGACCCCCTATCAATGCCTCATACTCCGTCTCATTATTTGTGAGTTTAAAGTTAAAGATCAAGGCATGATATACCTTGAACCCTTCCGGAGTTGTGAATACCACACCTCCACCGTAACCTTTCGGTCCAGCGGCTCCATCTACTGACATGGACCACCAAGGCTCTGTGATCGTCCTTGCCGGTTCCTCCTCCTGGTGACCCGTCATCTCCACAAGAAAGTCAGCCACATCCTGTCCCTTTATCACCGTCCTCGGACGATATTCAATGTTGAATTGGGTAAGCATCATGGCCCATTTGATCATCCTTCCCGATGAAGTGGAGTCTCTCATGACTGTGCCCAATGGTAGGTCGGTCAATACGACAATGGGATGGGCTTGGAAGTACGACGTGAGTTTCTTCGCTGTTATAAAAAGTGCATACCCTGCCTTCTCCGTAGGAGTGTACCTACTTTCTGCCCCATTTAAGGCCTTGCTTACATAATAGATGGGCCTCTGGATCCCATCATCCCTCATCAAGACCGAGCTAACAGCCATTTGAGTTACCCCTAGGTAGAGGTATAGAGTCTCCTTCGTTTCCGGTTTGGATAGAACAATATCTGAAGTCAGGTACGTCTTTAGCTCTTCAAATGCCCTGGCACATTCGTCATCCCACTGGAAGGTGTTGGCTTTCTTTAAGACCTTAAAGAAAGGCAAAGCCTTCTCTGCCGACCTGGACAAGAATCGGTTTAAGGCCGCCAAGCGCCCTGTTAACCGCTGGACTTCCCTTACCGATGTTGGGGGTTGCATTTCCATAATTGCCTTGATCTTCTCAGGATTTGGCTCAATCCCTCTCTTCGTCACCATAAAGCCGAGGAACTTCCCCGTCCTCACGGCAAAAACACACTTCTTCGGGTTAAGTCTAAGATTATGCCTAGTCATAATCTCAAAGCATTTTTCCAGGTCCTGAGCATGTGTGCCGCTTGCCCTGCTCTTCACCAGCATATCATCGACATAGGCCTCCATGGTCCGTCCAAGCAAAGGCCTGAACAACTTGTTGACCATCACCTTGTAGCAGTATGTCCCATCCGGGGTGAGGAAGGCCGTCTTTTCCTCGTCATCTTCCGCCATGAAGATCTGATGATACCCTTTAAAGGCGTCCATGAAACTTAGCAGTTCACACCCGGCGGTTTCGTCAACCATTTGGTCCGGGCTGGGAAGAGGATAAGAATCCATTGGGCATGCCTTGTTGAGGTCTGTGTAGTCTACGCACATCCTCCAGGTATCACCCTTCGGAGCCAGGACTACATTGGCCAGCCATTCAGGGTAGTTTACTTCCCTGATATGACCTACCTCAAGTAGGTCCTTGACCTCTTTCTTCACAAAGTCCCTCCTATCACTTGCCAAAAATCTCTTCTTCTGTCTTACAGGCCTAGACCCCTCAAGAACAGAGAGACGATGGCAAATGACTGACCGGTCAATCCCGGGCATATCAGCAACACTCCAGGCAAATAATGATTTATACCTGGTCAACACCTGGACAATCTCAGTCCTTAGCTCTTCCCGAAGGTCAGTCCCAATTTTGACCTTCCTCTCAGGATTGGAGGCATCAATGACGATCTCCTCCGTGTTTGCATCCGGCTCGATCCTAGCCTTCTCCTCACCCTTGTCTACCTGCTGGGAGACCAATTCAGTTTGTTCGAACTGGCGGGTCATCTTCTTGACTGCTTCCAGGTAGCAGGACCGGGCGTTCTTTTGATC